TTTATTTTTTGGCTTTCCTTTTTCATCTCAGTTCTGATTGCCTTTTGGATTTTTATGGTTTTAATTGTTCCATTGCCTTTCTCTGTTAACTTGTTAATTATATACACTTTTTTTCTTTCTTTTAGTAGTTTCCACAGGGGTAACAGCATCCTTAACTTATCAAAGTCTGATGAAAATAGTAGTAGTTTTACCATTTCCCATCCAGTGCTAGGACCTCAAAACACTAATGCCATTTGCCCCTTTTCCTGCCTTTTGTGCTATTGTTGCCATATTTTAAGTCCTACGTCATTATTACTTTTTTATACTGTCAATATTCATTTTAATTTGCCTACATATTTACTGTTTACTGGTGAATTTTATTTTTTCCCTGTAGTTCCATGCTTCCTTCTGCAATAATTTTCCTTAGGCCTGAAGTAGTCACTTTAGAATTTTTTGAATCACAGATTCACTAAAGACTAATACTCCTAACATTTTTTTTCTCTGAAAAAGTCTTTCTCATGAAGACTTTTTAACTAGATTTAGAATTCTAATGTGAAATTTTATTTTCTTTCCACACTTCTGAGATATTATTCCATTATCTTAGTTTTCCATAGTTTCAGTTGAGAAGTCAGTGACAGTTTTTGTTTCTCCTTTGAAGGTTGAGTGTCTTTAATTTAAGAATTTCTCTTTGTCTTTGGCTTTTAGGGGCTTGACAATGATTTGGCAAGGTTTACTTTTCTTTTCTTTTTTTTTTTTTGAGTTGGAGTCTTAGTCGCCCAGACTGGAGTGCAGTGGCTGCTCCCAGCCACAGCAGTCTCGACCCGCTGGGCTCTGGTGATCCTCCCGCCTCAGTCTTCCAAGTAGCTGGAACTACAGGCGCGTGCTACCATGCCTGGCTAATTTTTTAAATTTATTTATTGTAGAGATGAGGTCTCGCCAAGTTGCCTAGGCGGGTCTCAAACCCACGGGCTCAGGCAATCCACTCACCTTGGTCTTCCAAAGTGCTGGAATTACAGACTGAGTCACCAAGCCCGGCCAAGGTATACTTTTCTTTAGGATTCCTAATGTTTCTTTCTTTCATTTATTTTTACTTTTTTTGAGTTGGAATCTCTCTCTGTCACCCAGGCTGAAGGGCAGTGGCATGTTGACGGCCACTGCAGCCTCGACCTTCTGGGCTTAGATGATCCTTCCACCTCAGCCTTCCAAGTAGTTGGAACTACAGGCATGAGCCACCACGTCCAGGTAATTTGTTGTTTTACTGTGAATATGAGGTCTCGCCAAGTTGCCTAGGCTGGTCTCAAACCTGTGAGCTTAGGCAATCCTTTCACCTTGGCCTTCCAAAGTGCTGGGATTATAGGCATGAGCCACTGCGCCTGGCCCTAAATTCTTAATCTTGATTTTATTTTTCAGTTGTAGAATTTCCATTTGATTAATTTTTACAGTTTCCAGTTCTCTGCTGAAATTCTTTACCTGTGATCGCCTTTCATGACCTCTTACTTAATTGCAGTTATTTAAAATTTTATCTTTGAGAATTACAATATCTGGAATATATTTTTATTTTTATTTTTTTATAGTTTTGGTTGAATTCTAGATATTGTGTGTGAAAAATTTTAGATAGTTTGAGGTTCTAAGTAAAGCATTTGTTTTCTTCCAGAAATAATTTATTCTGCATTCTGGCAGGCAGTTAGGTTAGGGGTACCCTGACCTACCCTCTTAGGACTGATAAAGAGTCTTCCTCTCACCAGGATCCAGATACATTGTCCACTCTGCCAAAGAGCAGGTCGATTAGCGAGAGTACTGATACTGAATTGTGTTTGAGTTCTTGGGAAGAGTGATCTGTTTCAGATTCACCCCCACTCTTAGGATGGGGGTTTTGAGGGGGTCACAACAGAAAGCTGGAAGGTGAAGCTGTCAGGGCCCTACTCCTTGGCTGCCCTAAACACATATTTGTCTCTCTCCAGCCCCATGAGATTGTAGGAAGCTCTGCTCAGTCTCTCAGCTTTTCAGCCACTGCTTGTAAATAGTCACATGCTTTAAGGGGAAAGAGGTGCCCAAATTAGGCTCGCTTTGCTGTACTTCTCTTATCTCTGTGATTGTAGCCCCTGAAATCCTTACTGTCTTGGTGCTTCTCTAGGCCAATAAGTAGATTTTTTTTTTTTTTTTTTGAGTTGGTGTCTCACTCCATCACTCAGGCTGAAGGGCAATGGCACGCTCATGGCCACCCCAGCATCGACCCGCTGGGCTCCAGCAATCCTTCTGCCTCAGCCTTCCAAGTAGCCAGAACTCACCATGTTGCCCAAGCTGATCTTGAAGCTGTGGGCTCAGGCAGTCCTCTTGCCTTGGCCTCCCAAAGTGAATTAGATTTTTTTAAATGTTTGTTGTCGGCCGGGCACTGTGGCTTAGCCTGTAATCCCAGCACTTTGGGAGGCTGAGGCAAGTGGATTGCCTGAGTTTGAGGATTCGAGACCAGCAACTTGGCAAGACCTCGTCTCCACAATAAATCAAAAATTAGCCGGGCATGGTAGTGTGTGCCTGTAGTTCCAACTACTTGGAAGGCTGAGGCAGATGGATCACTAGAGCCCAGCAGGTTGACGCTGGGGTGATGCCTGGGCAACGGAGTGAGACTCCAACTTAAAAAAAAAAAAAATTTGTTGTCAGATTTGTTAAGTTGTTGTAGAAGGGAAGATAATTATTGGGCCTGTGTTGGAAAGGGCAGGCCTCCAAGCCAAACTCAGTGCTCCTTGACCTCTCCCAGAGACTCCTGACCTTTGGCAGTGGTGGAGATGGGGGGGGCAGTTAATTGGGCATTAGGGAGGGGTCATTAGCTCTTGAAAAGTGAGTCGGGGGAGGGTTTGGACCCGCTTGATAGAGCTGGATACACCCTCTGTGTTTACAGTTGTGAAAACTGAGACACAAAATGGAACCATCCAGCAGTGATTGGGTCCCAGGTGCTCTAGACTGCTTGGACAGTGCTGTGCTCTGGGGTGGGGCAAAGCACAGTGGGCTACAGGGCTGCTGTTCCCTCCTCTCTGGCCTTTCCGTTGCCCCTGCTGTGCCCTCCCTTCTTCCAGCTGGTCTTCTGAAACTGTGGACAGCAGCGTGGGGCTGGAGACATGGTGCGTGTTCCTGCCATGAGTTCTGGGTACTCTTCCTGCAGACTTTCCTCTCTCCTACCAATTTCTCACAGAATCTTGGAGACAGTTTCTGAAAGTGACAGTTTTCTTTCCTCACTAATCCCTGTAGTTTTCTTCCCACACCCAGTTTCTCTTCCTCATTTCTCCCCACCCTGTTGTGAACAAGAGTCACTGCACTAAACATGCCCCACTTTCCCTCCCTGTGCCTCAGTGACCTGACACTTACCCCCAGGCCTGAGGCAGGCAGAGGGGATGGGGGATGGGGGAAGCAGGCTCTGGGAGTGTGGGTGGACTTCTCCACACAGGTGATGCTGGTACTGCCCCCTTCCCACCCTGTCACAGAGGTTCAGCCCAGCCAGGACTCCAGGCCTAGTGGCCCTGGCATGGGAGAAGGAGCCAGTATGTGAGCTGGGGCAGGGAACAGGTGGAGCTCTTGAGTAGGGGGATGAGTTTGGCATCTGAAAGCCCCCAATTCAGAGCACTGCTAGCCATATGGCCACAGACATCGCCTGCCTCACCTCTGGGAAGGCAGCCTTCCCAGGGGCTGAGGAAGTCTGCAACTCTTTTGCCTGGTTTAAACAAAGGGCTTGGGAAATGACAGGGCATGGGAGGCCTCCTGTCATGAAATTGTTCTGTCCTGGAGGCCCAGGGCTTTCTGAAGGACCAGTGGTTGAGGACTGAAAGAGATAGTGGGGAAGAAGGAGAACCACAGCCCAGGCTCACCTGGCTGGCACTTGAGGGGCCTCTTCTGCATCCCCCAGGCTTCGGTGCTGCCCTGGTGTTTCTGTCTTGCCTCTGTTAGACCCAGCTGCCCCCAGGAGCTCCTCCCCTCCCCTGCTGCCCTGTGGAGTTACCAGAACCCTCCAGGCCTGGCTGTCAGTGGGTGGGAGGGTTGGGATTTGATGAGCTTCTGAGCCAGAGAGGCCCCAGTGAGCTCTTGGTGCAGCCAGCCCTGCATGAGGAGACTGAAACAGGAGAAGAGTGAAAACATGGTCCCTGGCCACAGCTCCCACTGTGTGATGGTGGCTTCTCCTCCTTCACAGAGATCTTGAGGTCTGCCCTGGTAACACTCTGAAGACCTCTTGCAGGGGTAGAGGATGTGTTCTTACCGCTGTCCAGGTGGACTCTAGCTTTCCCAGCCTTGCACAAACATCGCATGCCTGTTCTCACAGCCCTCACGGGCCTCTCACAGCCATGTTGGAGTGGGGTTAGCTCCTCATGTGTTTTGTGTCCCCAGCGTCTGTGGGCCCAGACACCACTCCCGGAGTCCCTCCATGTTCCCACTGCTTTAGGCAGCATGCCAACTCCGAAGTCCCCCAGCACTGGCTTGCCTGTCTACATGCCAGTGCTCGCTCACTGCCACATGCCCAGATTCTTTCCACTGGTAGTTGAGGCACTACATGGCATTGGCCTCAGGGCAGGAAGACTCTGAGGAGGGGGCTAGGCTTAGGGAACTAGCGAGTGACTGCTGGCTTTCTCTTTGAGGAATAACTCAGCCCAGGAGCGCTAGCCCTGGCTGAGAGTCACATCATGCCTTGAGCTTAGCTGTGCAACCACTGCTGTGTGGTCTCCTGAAAATGGTGCACTCTCTCTGGCCCCAGTTCTCTTACTGTCAAGTGTGGACAATTCCAGGAGAAACACCCAGCGAACACTCCTCAGGCATCCCTGGCCCCAGCTCTAGAAGAGAATCATACTCTTACATAGAAGGCAGGGCCTTTGGAGAGTGGGGGGCTGTCCCCATGATACTCTGTTCTGTGCTTTCCCTCTTTACCAGCGAAGATCTTCTTCAGAGAGATCAGAAGGAAGTCAGAAGTAACCAGCTTGTGTGGGTTCACTGCATTTGACTTGCAGTTGTATGAGGTGAATGATCCCTGCTTGTCCTCCTAGGGAACTGAGGCTGCGGAACTACGTCCCAGAGGATGAGGACCTGAAGAGGAGGAGGGTGCCCCAAGCCAAACCAGTTGCAGGTAGGCAGGCTCCCTCTCTCCACCTCTGCTGCCCGGCCGCGCCAGCCGCTCTTCACCTCAGCAGGCTTTGCCCTCACTCAGAACAACTGGCAGCGCCAGGGCAGGAGTTGGGTCTCCAGGACCCTCTGTCACCATCTCACAGCAGATAAGTAAATCATTGACTTTCGTGGAAGCAGAGAGACGGTCAGGGCACTGAAGAGGCTGCTGTGCCCACTCAGTTCTGCTCACACACCAAGGCCAAGGTTTCCTGATACCTGTGAAGGGTCCTGGAGCAGGCCACACCCCTTCAGAGGACTCCTCTGGGCTGAGGAGTAGACATGCCCCTGGGGCAACAGGGCCGGGCAGTGGGTCCTGTGGGCCCCAGTGGATCAGGGTGAGAGACATTCAGGAACATACCATAGTGGGCAGGCAGCCCGAGCACAGAGGCGGGGAGAAGGCCTAGCTCAGGTTCCCCAGTCTCACTGGGGTGTGGGAACAGCACAGCGACCTGGAGCATCCAGCCGTTCATGCCACTCAGGCCAGGGAGCTGCTTCATCCTGTGATTCCTGCACCTTGGCCCTGGAGGATCTGTTTCTATTCTTTCTTTTTATGGACTTTTTTTTTTTTTTTTGAGTTGGAGTCTCACTTTGTCACCCAGACTGGAGTGCAGTGGCCGCTCCTGGCCACAGCAGCCTTGACCTGCTGGGCTCCAGCGATCCTTCCTTCTCGGCCTTCCAAGTAGCTGGAACTACAGGTGCATGCTACCACGCCTGGCTAATTTTTTATGAACTTTTAATTGAATAAGTAATAAGTGAATAAATACATTTATCTTGAGAAAAAGTAAAGTGTTGCCCGTTTATCACATCCCAGTCTGCTTCTCCCCCTCTTTCATCCCCCAAATCCAGACGCTTCTCTGGTGATTTGCTTCATGGCTGTGCCCCACTTGGTGGGGCAGTGGCACAGTGGGTAGAGGCAGTAAGGCAGTGCAGGAGGAGGGAGGTACTGGCTCCAGGCTCAGGATCAAGAGGCAGCCCAATCTCACTTCTGTAGCTGGAGGGAGGTCAGGCAGGCAGGGACAGCACTCATGGGGCCACTGAGTACTGGGGCTTGGAGGGACCCCACAGAGCCTGGGGTTGTTAATGCATCTGACATCTGTCCCCACAAGAGCAGTACCCTCCAAGTCAGAATGCGCAGAGGCCTGCTGTGCTGGCAGTGACTTGGTATAACAGGAGGCGTCTGTCCCTTGAGGTGGGATGGGAAGAAAAGTGGCTCTGGCCAGGACCCAGAGGACATCCTTAGAGTCCAGGAGCTCTGGGGTTACTGGAAAGCCAATTCCCAAGGCCCTTCACAGAACCACGCTTTGTATCTACGCTCCTAGCTCACAGTTGAGGTTAGTGCCCATGCTTTCTGGCTGACTTCAGCTGTCCGATCTTGCCCCCAGGGAATTGCCTTCATCCTAGGAAGCCCAAGCCCTTCCTCTAGAGCTGCCTTCACAGGGACTTTGCCTCTGGCTGGTGGAGGGCTGAAGAGAGGTGGGAGCAAGAGAAGTCTGGGGTTCCTTCTTCTCCCCTGGAGCCTTGGTAGGCAGTGTTACTGCAGAGTGGCAGATCCTTTCTGATAGGCCTCCCTTGTTGTCTTGCACCCTCTAGTGGAGGAGAAGGTGAAGGAGCAGCTGGAGGCGGCCAAGCCGGAGCCTGTCATTGAAGAGGTGGTAAGTTCCTGGGGCCACTCTGTCCTCCTACTCCTCCCCCTCTCTGTCCTCTTTCTCGCTGCTTCTGTGTATCCTGTTTCCTGTCCCCATCTGCTCTCCATCTGGCCCCCTTCCTTCTCTTTACTTCTTCTTTCCCCATCCAGCCTTCTCTCATTCCTCCCTTCCCCCGTCCTCCCCTTTCTCCCACCTCCCTACTTCTCTACCCTGTCTTCCCACTCCCCTGAGGCAGACCCCTCCTACCCTGATATGTGTCTTCTCTTCCCCAGGACTTGGCCAACCTCGCTCCCCGGAAGCCTGATTGGTGAGTGTTGCGCATGCAGGGTTGGTGCACACTGACTAGGGAGGCTCTTGGTGCTAGGCGTGGGCCTTGGGCTGGGCTCTTCCCCGACTCACAGTGAGGGAGATAGACAGTACAGAATAGAGATCACAAGGTAGTTACTTTTGGAAATAAGTGCTAAAAAGAATATGAGTGGCATGATGAGAGGGGCTCAGGAGAGGGGGAGGGGGAGCAGTAGGTCCCTCAAGAATGCCCTTGTGAAAAAGTGAACACCACCTACTCCAGAGGGTCCCATTTTTGCAAGACCAACTTTTGTCCTCAGGAGGCCACGGGCTGGAGGCGTGATGGAGGGAAGGACAGACACAGGTTTCTGTCTCTGTTCCACCACCAACTAACTTGTTCCCCACTGTCTCCCATTTCCTCTTCTGTGAAATGGGCTGAGAGAGGGTGCTGGCTTACTTTACACTGGGCTAGAGGTAGGGCTATATCCCTCTTGCCTGGTTCTTTGTCAAGGATTGCACCAGCTAGAGGTGTTTTAATTTGATGAAACAAAAGCATGAGGTGAATGTCCTAGGAATCCCAGGGCCTGAGAAAGCAGGCTGAGTACATGTACATTTCTGGAAACCCATGGTGGAGGGGGTGGGCCTGTGGCTGGAGGAGAGGCCAGAGAACCAGGCCAAAAGTGCTTACCTGGAAAGCCATCTACCATTGCATGCCTTGGCTCAGACTCCCATGTGGGCTGTGTCTGTGGCACTAGTCCCCCTGCTTCAGTGGGATGGGGCAGGATGGTGAATGCTAGACTTCAGAGGCACAGAAAGGTGGGGGGGCATTCTGGCCTCTCCAGGGAGACCCCCTTAGGCAACCCAGTGTGATTGCTAAGGCGGGAGGGAGGGAGGGAGCCCAAGGCCACATCAGGCCGTTCAGCTTCCTGCCTTCCCCTCCCTCCCTGCTCCAGGGACCTCAAGAGAGATGTGGCCAAGAAGCTGGAAAAGCTAAAAAAGCGGACTCAGAGGGCCATCGCTGAGCTGATTCGTAAGTATAGGGCCTGACAAGGTGGGATCCTACACTCTGAGTGGTGGCCCTACCACAGGGCCCTCCTCAGCCCCGCTGTCTGCTGTCTATCCCAGGTGAGAGACTGAAAGGCCAGGATGAGAGCCTAGCCTCAGCAGTGGACGCCTCCACCGAACAAGAAGCCTGCGATTCCGACTGAAGTGTGCCCTGTCCCTCCCTGTGCCTGCCAGGCGTGTCCTGTAGGTGGATGGTCTTGGGCAGGAGTAGAGGCCAGGCTTGCCCTCTCCTCCAGTTTGGCTTCTGAGCTGTGATTCTCTGAAATCCCCGTTGATGAGGTTAGCTCCTTGTCTCCTGAATGGTCCCTACCATTCTTGGTGGGGGCAGAGCCAGTAACAACTCTGGTGTGCCTGGGTCTGTACATATGTATATATTTTGAACTTTTTAAAATCTCTGGAAATAGAGACAAGTAAACCCCTGTGAGTGGCAGAAACCTGTCAGATGTTTCCTAGGCCTGGGAGTACTGGGCCTTTGGGCTCCAAGACTGCAGAGGTGATACTTAATGTGAATAACCCCTGTTTTAGACTGGGCATGATAAGGCTGGAGAGGTAGGGAAGGCCCAGGGCTGGCCTTCTATGTCCAAGTCCTGGTCCAGTCCATGGTCAGTGGTGGTCATCTCAAACCCTTGGGTGACAAAGGGTGTGGCAGAGTTCTTTTTAAGACCACCCCCCTCAAGTCTAGGCCTTGCAGTAGTTTCTGTGGGACAGCCGGAAAGGCTCCCATCCTGGTCCTCTGGGGACCCCCTCACCAAGTGGGAGATTGGACCTTGGTGAGTCCCAGCTTGGGTCACTCTAGATTCAAGGCCTCTTGCACTGCTTCTCCCTCCTCTGCCCAGCCCTAAGCAGCTGCTTTCCCTACCCACCAGTCAGAGCTAGACTATGGCTTCCCTGGGGCAGGGCCCCTGGGGAGGGGTGGTCCATTCTGCTAGAGACTTGGTTAGAGTGATGGGAATTCATTTTAATCTCAGTGTATTCATTTTCATACATTTTGGTATGTATGCTGTGTTTCACACATAGGCTTGGTTTTTTGGGGGGGTTGTTTTTTGTTTTTGTTTTTCATTGGAGTCTCACTCTATTGCTCAGGCTGGAGTGCAGTGGCACGCTCATGGCCACCACAGCCTCATCCTAATGTGCTCAAGTGATCCTTCTACCTCAGTCTTCCAAGTAGCTGGAACTACAGGCATGTGCCACCATGCCTGGCTAATTTTTTTTATTTATTGTAGAGATGAGGTCTCACCAAGTTGTCTAGGTTCGTCTTAAACTTGTGGGCTCTGGCAGTTGTCTCATTGGCCTCCCAAAGTACTGGGATTGTAGGCGTGAGCCACTGCGCCCGGCCAGGTTTATTTTTTTAAAAGCAGTTTTACTGCATCTGAGTTTCACTACAATGGTCTAGATTAGAACAAGCTACATGTACAAAATTTAAAAGACAGATTACATACAAAGGAATGAGTTTCACATTTCATTAACAATAGATGCCAGAGGACAAAGTTTTCCTAAATGCTGAGGAAACATAAATGTCAGTCTGCCCAGTTGTCCTAACTAGGAGGGTGACAGACATTTACAGGCTTATGACACTGTTTGCTGTGCACTGATCTTTGCTGAAAGGATGACTAAAGAATGCTCTGTAACATGAATGACTGGGAGGCATAGGGAGGAGAAATGGAAATCAGGATTGCATTTGTCAGATACCCATACACAAGCCCTACACCACAGAGGGGTCTTTTTCTTGTGTTAGGGAAATGCACATTAAGATCACAAATATTGTTATACACCTATTTGAACAGATAGAATAAAAAACATTGATAATGCCAAATGCTCACCAGGAGGTAGAGACGATGAATCTCATACAAAGTAGCTGGGAACGTGGACTGGTACTGCCACTCTGGAAAATAGCTTGGCAGTTTCTTTAAAAACTCCACATATACTTAACATATAACCCATCAGTCACGCTCCTGGGCTGTTATCCCAGAGAAATAAAAACTTATATTTACACAGAAACCTGTACATAAATGTTCATTGTAGCTTTGTTTATAGTTGTCAAAAGTCAGGGAAGAAATGTCCTTCAGTAGGTGACTAGTTAAACTTTGGTACATCCATACCATGGAATACTACTCAGCAACAAAAAGGGACGAAGTGTTGATTCATGCAACAGTTGGTGGATCTCAAGGACATTATGGTGAGTGAAAAAAACAGATTTCAAATGGTCACATACTGTAGGGTTCCACTTCTGTAACGTTCTTGAAGTAACAAAATTATAGAGAGGGAGAACAGATGTGTGGTTGCCAGGGGTTAGGGATGGTGGGCATTGCTGTGACTTTAGAAGGGGTGGCCCCAAGGCGATCAGTGCAGCCATTGTGGTGGCGGATACATGGATCTGCATACATGATGAAATGGGAGAGAACTATACAGACACACACCTGTACCGGTGTCACGTTCCTGGTTTTGCTTCTGTGCTACAGCTATGGAAGATGTAACCATGGAAAAACTGGGTGAATAGGACCCAGGTGTGCAGGATCTCTCTACTTTCTAGCTTCCTAGAAATCTACATTTCAAAATGAAAAGGTTTTAAAAATGAACTGGTAAAACATGTTAATAAATTAAAATGTTTATTTTCAAAAAATTTGTATGGAGCCTTTTCATTTTAGAATAAGATGTGTGAGTGTGTGTGTGTGTGTGTGTGTGTGTGTGTGTGTGTGTGCGTGCGCGCGCACACATATGTGTGCATGCACACTTTTTTTAGTAGGAGTCTCACTTGAGTGAAGTGGCACGATCACAGTTTATTGCAGCCTCGACCTCCTTGGCTCAAGTGATCCTTCTGCCTCGGCCTTCTAAATAGCCACCACACTCGGCTAATTTTAAAATGTATATTTTTTAAAAATAATGCTTTATGGATTTAACACTAAGACACAACAAGCATTCTGGCATCTGAACCACAGTCTTGTGGAAGAACAGGTGGATAATTCAAAGTTAGTTCCCATGAGTCCTGGCCTTGGTTGGAGGGATAGGTGGGGAGGGGGTCCTTAGGCTCCAGAGGCCCTTTTGTATAGGGCTTGAGGAGATGGGCCAGCAAGGGGCAGCATCCAGCTCTGTGGATGGAGCTCAAGTGCACCTGCCACTGTCCAGCCCTGACTGACCTCCCCGTATTCCAGGTCCCACTAGTTTGGGGTTCTCCAGGACACCTGGTCTCTTCATCTGGGAGAGTGTCAGGCCTGGGGTGTTCTGCAACAGCACGATGCCTTTCCCCAGAGAGGACAGGAGAAGGCCTGCTGCCAGAGACCCAGGCTTGGGGCCTCTGGGTTCTGACGCCTCTTGCAGGGGAGGCAGCAAGAGTGACTGGGAGAAAATCGCACCTAGGCTTGCAGGGATGGGCACCCAGAGGCTAGGTGGGCAACTGGCCAGGGGAAGGCCTTGTAACCACAGTGAAGAACCATGGACTTGGGATCAGAGGAAGGCACAGCCCCTGAAGTTGCAAGGGGAAACTCTGCTGTCCAGCCCCGAGAGGGCTCTGTGGAGGCTCCCAATGTGAGATGCCAACTCACCCTCAGGAGGCCTTTCCATGCGACTCAGCCATGCCGTGGACCCACCCACCCTTGCAGAAGCCAGGGGAGTCAGCCATTAGTTCAGCATGTTTTCTGAGTACCCATCTCATACTGGGCACTGTTCCAGGTGCTGAGGATGTGAATCGGACGACAGCTCTGCCTTCGAGGAGCTGACCATTCAGATGGTCTCCGGGTCTGTGCTAGGAGCCAGTCTGAAAGACCTCACTTCCCCCAGAACCATCTGGTTGAGCAATATGTGGCCCCAAGAGTCCACCAACCAAGAGACAGCAAGGATGAGATCTCCATGCAACTGTGGCCTTAATTTCCCCATTGTCCTCACATTACCACTGGGGGGCAGCAGGAGACACCAATGGGGTCCCTAACGGGACCATGGGTCAGCACAGCCTGCTTTTACCCTACCAGCATGGAGTCTTCTGTGAAACCCACCACCACACCATAGGAAGTACACCTGTGATTTCCCGTGGCACCCATATTCAAGTGGTTGGCCGTCAAAGATGATTATCAGAGTGGGGTCCAGTCAACCCAGAGACCCAGAACAGTGGGGCCTATATCCTGGAGGGAGCAGGTTGCAGGCACTCCAGCATGTGTGACATCCAGGTGAGGTGTCTTGAGTGCCCTCCCAACACAGGACAAACCAAACACTGCCAGGTCAGCACAGTCTCACACCTTCCCCACCCTGGAACTGTGGGTGCGTCTTGATGTGCAGGAGGTGTGTGTGGGCAGAATGCCAAGCCTGACTGGGAAAGGGCCTCCCTGGCGGGTCAGGTCTCCTTGGTCCCTGGGCCAGGCTTGAGATGGCATCCCCTGAATCTGTTCTGGACATCTGCTGTTTGGAGTCACACTCTCAAGATGCCCAGTGTTGACCCTGGGTCCTTCCATCCAGTTGGGGTAGGGGCACCCACCAGTTGGGCCTGGGTGGGCAAAAATGGGCAGTCCACAGAGTGAGCGGTCTTTTCTTCCCGGGCAAAGACCTGCCTTGGGGGCCCTGGCAGCTATGGGCTGAGCAGGGCTGAGTTTCCCAGCCAGCCTGCCCCTTCTGTATGTATTTACTGGTTTTCTTTAAATGTTCCCATTACTTAGGCCTTCGGCGGGCACCCAGACAGAAATAAATCCCGCAAAGCTGCCCAGCCAGAAGCCGGGAATCTGATTCTCCCTCAAAGGCCGGAAGGGCCCCTGTACAGAGTATGCCAGACCACAGTGGCCCACACACTCCACGTGGCCACAAATATGGCCACTCCTCCACATGTGCACGTGCACACACATACCTTTACACACGTGTTCCCCACCCAGATTTTTCACACACACACACACATTTGCCTCATATGCAGACTTGCTTTGCCCATGCACACACATGTTCACACACAGGCAGATACCTGACATGCACACGCATGCACACATGCCCCACGCATACACACATTTCCTGACAGTTTCATACCCAGTTGTAACTACACATTCGGGTCACAGCCTCAGCCATCAAGGTGCTGGTGAGTGAGACAAGTGGGCGAGGCTGGGGGTGGGTGGGAGAGGAGGAGGCCACCCCGTGCAGCTCAGGAGGAGCATGGCCTCTTAAGATCACAGGCCCTGGCCTGCCAGGGCTTCTGAATTTTTAAAAGAAGTTGGAAAGCTAAATTTTTATGCGAAATATCCTGATTTTTAAATGTTGGCTCAAGATGTTGAAAATACTGTGAGTGCCAAACCAAACATGTATGTGAGCCAAATTCCACCCACAGGCGGCGTTCTCAGACCACGGGTCCACACACACACACACACACACACACACACACATACACAAACACACACAAACAAAAATGACACACTGGTACACACAGACACACCAGAAGGCAGACTCATACAAGCCGACATACAGGCATATACAGACACAGATGGATAAACACACATGAGCACATGTGCAAACACAGACACTGGTATACATACAAACAGCACCACAGACAGACACACATAGAAGCATATTTACAAACAGATACACAAATACGAAGAAATACACAAATAGACATACACACATACATACAAATGCACCCAACATGGAAACTGACATGATGTGAGCTAGTGGGGAACAGGCAGTTTGACAGTGGCCTCCTGGCTAGGGCGAGGATGTGGTCCAAGTCAAGGTTGTCCCTTGGCTCTTACACATGCTAGAGAACAAGTGAACACTTGGGGGAGTGGTCTTGGACTGAATAGAAAGCACAGCATGGTGGGTGGAGGGAGTCCACCAAGGGCCACACATGTCAGGACCTCATGGGGAGACTGAGAAACCACAGGTACTGAGGAACTGAGAAGGGGGACTCGGGTAAGCTCTAGCCTGTCCTTGCCCCACCTCTCTGTCAGTGGAAGCAAAACCAGCAGGAGCCCCATGGGGGCCACCATCTGCAGAGCTCCCCACCAGAGCTGCTGGTGATACCCAACCCCAGTGGCCTTGATGGACCTACCCAAAAAACCCAAGGCTGGGTGGGGGAGCAGCATGAAAAGGCCTCACCTGACCTCTCACCCACAAATGCAAAGCTAAGACCAGA